ATTGAAAAACAGCTTTTAAAATAACGATAAATCTTAAGGAGCGAGAATCTAACGCTTAAGCAAAATTTTCTATTTTTCTTAAGATTTAGAACCACGGCGATGGGATTTTATCATTTTTTTATTTATAGGATTTCACAATCAATAAAAAACTTTTGTGCATCTACGGTAACTTTGACAGCATTTCACCACATATATTTTTATTGTATTTATTCATATTTGATGAGGTAAAATGCAAACAAACCAGTAATTTTTTAGGGAGGGCAAAAAACTTGTAGCTTTGCTCTGAAAAGGGATAATGAGTTCTAATCAATGTTACGCAAAAGTATTGGTTCAAAACATGAGATTAAATTAATTATTTCAGTTAGGGTAGCTAAAATATTGTTAAAATATTGATTTTGTTTTGGCAATAAGACATTTTGCACAAACTCAGTGGAAATAAGTCGGTTTGTATGTAAAACGTTGTGGACATTAGATGATTTACATGAAAATAAAGTAAAAAAGCAATAAAGCAAAGGAACAACGGTTTTCTGAATGATCTTCTATGTTTGTAAAATAATGATATGGGCCTTACCTAAGTTACAAACATTGTCATAATAGGAAGGTAATGCAACAAACAGTTTTTTTAATATGGAAGTCACAGCGCTCATCGTCGAGACAGGAATTACTTCCTGCTCCTCATCAACAGCTGCTCTAGTGGGTTCATCAAAAATCAAACTCTTGTCAACCAAGGCATGGTCCAGAAAAACATTTTTTTCAAAAGTTTGTAAACATCTTTATCTTTTCTTTGGTTAACATACGAGGAAGTGGGAGTTCTTTCAGTCTCACTTATCTAAGATTATTTTTTCCTTTTTTTCTCGATTATATAAAAGACTTTTTCTTTTATAGGTACTTGTAGTTTTTTAAACCTCTTACCAACAAATCATTTTTGTAAGACTTTCCTTTTCTCCTTTTTTCGAAGATGTTCAATTTCTTCTTGTGTCCAGTAGCGATTCCATGTCCTTATAGTATTTACTTTGCTTCCTAGTATCAAGAAGTGGCCAATCTTCTCCTAGTGCTCTTACCTTACCTATACCACTGACTGATGCTTTGTATATTTTCAAAAAATGAATCAGTGTTCTCAGAATAATATTATTTTAATTTTAAGAAACACAACCATCGCTAAACAATCTTAGTACAGAACAGCTCTAAAAATCAGCTTTTTCAAATAGAGAGACATACGACATTTTTTACACTGACTTTTCCTGTCTGCTTCTCTATCCAAGTGTAGAATATGCGGTTTTGAGTTTTTAGATCAGTTAATACAAAAGTTATCTTTTAAAAGATCTTAGGAAGGAGGAAAAACGCATACATCAAAGGAAAAAGCGGACCTTCGAAAACCAGATTATGCAAGAGCTTCAATCATTAAAGGGGCAAAATGAAACTAGAAAGTTCTATAATATCCTAAATAAGACAAGAAAAGAATTTAAACCACGGCTGACGATGTGTAGAGATAAAAATGGACATATAGTCAGTACCGCTGACGCAGTACAAAGCAGATGGGTTAAGCACTTCAAAGAACTACTTGGTACCGAAGTGGAAAATGATGCGTCACCCCAAAGACCAAGAAATAACACTCACGTAGAACCTTCTTTCAATATTTGAAGAGAAAGACGCAATCACACGACTCAAAAATAGCAAGTCCCCAGGAGTGGATTGTATCCCCGCAGAGCTCATCAAACATGGAAGTAACAGCATTATGCACTAAATTCACAACATAAAAATCAAAGTCTGGGAAGAAGAACAAATGCCAGAGGAATGGTGCACTGGAATCATATGTCCACTGCACAAAAAGGAGATTTGTTGGAATGTAAAAATTATAGGGGTATAACTCTTCTGAATACAATGTACAAAATATTCTCCAACACCCTGTACAGCCGTTTAAGTACGTACGTGGAAGAAATCCTTGGTGAGTATCAAAGCGGTTTTAGGCCAGGTAGGTCAACAATTGACCAGATTTTTGTGCTACGTCAAATCTTAGAAAAAACCAATGAATTTAATATTGACACGTTCCATCTCTTTGTGGACTTTAAGTCAGCGTATGATAGCGTCCTAAGAGGTAAATTATACGAAGCCATGAATGAACTTAACATTCCCCATAAATTAATAAGGCTCGTAAAATCAACTATGAGTAAAGTGATCTGCAGAGTGCAAATACAAGGCGATATGTCACAAGCGTTTGAAACATATGCAGGGTTACGGCAGGGAGACGCGCTGGCGTGCCTTCTCTTTAATATAGCGTTAGAAAAGACTATAAGAGATGCCGAGTTACACAATAGGGGAACAATCTTTAATAAATCAACGCAGATTATGGCTTACGCTGACGATCTGGATTTGATCGCACGTACTACACGAGGACTTAAAGAGATGACTTCCACCTTCTTGACAGCCGCACAAAATATGGGCCTTAAAATAAACGAGGAAAAAAACCAAAATGTTAGCATCTATTCCAAATAACAGAGATAGAGCTAGAAACGCCGAACAAAACTTCAGTATAGACCAATATAATTTTGAGGTAGTAAATAAGTTTACATATTTGGGTTCTCTCATAACAAACGATAATGACACATCTGAAGAAGTTAAACGGAGGGTACTGCTAGCAAACAAATGCTATTTTGGACTAAGCAAGCAGCTAAAAAACAGAAATTTAAGCCAGAAAACCAAACTAATAATATATCGAACACTCATCCTACCAGTGCTGACATATGGGTCAGAAACATGGACCATCTCCAAAACAGACGCAAATCTTCTGCTCGTCTTCGAAAGGAAGATACTAAGAAGAATAATGGGCGCATTCTGTGAGAATGGTATTTGGAGAAGGCGATATAATTTCGAATTGTACGAGAAGTATAAAAAAATAGTAAATGGTAGAGAGGTAATATCCTTCATAAAAATAGGTAGGCTTAGATGGGCTGGACATGTGTCAAGAGCAAATGAAAATTACCCACCCAGACGAACTCTATTATCGGTCCTAGTGGGAAATAGGAGTAGAGGCAGACCACGACTGAGATGGAGGGACGGTGTAGACGAGGACGCAAGGAAAATCGGCGCGGCAAATTGGCAACGGTTGGCGATGAACAGAAACGACTGGCGAAATAGACTGGGGAAGGTCAAGGCTCAACTAGAGCTGTAGCACCACTGATGATGATGAATACAAAAGTTGAATAAAACTAAATCTGTCTCGCGTAATAAGCATCTTGAATTAGGCTTTTCAGTTGTGGCTGAATTTGTTGAAGATCAAAGCAGAGGATAACAGAATGAGAAATATTCACTTTCATGTACTCATAAAACGCCTTAGCTCTTTTTGAATGAATCTGTTTGTCAACCATTAGCTGAAACTTTTCAGCAGACGGCTGATGCACTTTTTATTTGTTCTTTGAGAAGGCAGCACGTTCTGTAAGTATCGGAGGCAGGTGACTTAAAACCGAAATTAATATTTTACTTAGTTCACTAATACTTAACTCACTACTCGGATATAATATTTTGGACTACTATCTTCTGTAATGTGTTACACTTTCCTTCTTCAGATTCTAATTTCTGGTAGAGTCACCCCCTCTTTTTCCTTTATTAGTAAATTCAAAAGGCACTTTTTTGGGTAAGTTTTTATTGTAGTTTCTCCAATACCAATAACAGTGCAAAAAAGCTTTAAACATACAGAAGTTTTAGCACCAGACAGTTGGAAAAAAGTATTGTATTGAGCACTTTCGCTCAGGTCCAGGTTTCTTAGTTTTGAATGTGTTTACCGACCAAGGCTTATGTCTTTTAAATTGTGTTGTATGAATCAGAATGAAAATTCTATTGTTTTGCCTTTTAGTAGCTGGAACTTTATAAAACTCTGCTTTAAAAACGTTGATGTAAATAGGCCTTATTTTTAAGCATGTGAAACGTCTATTTTTGTTCTCAGACGAGTCAGACCGTACAAAACCTAGGGCTCTTCTAACCTTCGAAAGAAGACGACGAAATAAAAAGTCGAAGAAGAAGAAACTAAACGAATGGTTGAAATAAATTTTCATCGTTAGATAGAAGATGGAACTTGAAGGAGAAGAAGCAAGGTCATGGAAAATCTATAAAATCTTGTGCATCAAAGTGTTAAATATTTATAAATTAAACTTTAATCCTAGATTTTACTATTTTCTTTAAATTTGTGATGTCCTCTCGTAGGAGTCACTATCCATGTAGCTTTTGGACAGTCAGAGACAGAGTTCAAAATAAAAATAAAACTTTATTGTCTTCCTTAAATTAAATTGACAAAAATCTTATGTACATATTTACAATTTGGTTTAGTCTTGTCAGTACCTGGCCTATTTATTCAAATTAAGTTTGACCTTGTCATATGAAATTAGTCTTATCGGCAAGCGAGTGTGTATTTGAAATTTTACGGGAACGTTGTATCGATTTAATAACAGCGGACGATAGGTACAAAGAAAGGAAAGGAACTCAACACGTCCCTTAAGTGATTCGGGTTAATAGGACACTCCTCGACAGTCTCAACACGACTGCTTCAGAGTACGGGTAGTGAAGAGCTCAACACGCTCTTCGGGTAACGGCGGTATGGAACGGAACAACTTGTGAACTCAACACGTCCTCAAGCAGGGGTAGGGAAGAAAAGAACCTTTATTCAACACCTGTCGATTCTGTCTCTATGAGGAAATGTTGCGGTTTATATAGCGGAGCTTGGTAATTAGTTTTGCCCTTTCTACTGTCGATACACTCCTACTTCATGGGTTGGTTCGCGCGCACGCTGGTTTAACGGTGATGGCTTGGACTCATCGTTACAAATTGTCTCTGCTCTAGTTCGTATTTCCCTTTATTTTGTTACACTCTTAAGTGAAAGAAGGTTCGTTTATTATGGATACTAGGTATGTAGACTTAAAATTTTATGTTATTAAAATTTATATATATTGTTTTACGTAACCGTTAAATTTCTTAACATAAATATTTTAATTAAACTGTCAAAAAATTACCTTAACGTATGCCTTTTCCGTATCTACGAGCTCTAAAATGACTTTCCTTAATTTTTCAGCATCAGAAAGTTGTCTAGAAGGCGTCAAACCTGCCTGAGAAGTATTGCTGACTATACTTCCGGTCGGACTGCTAGTTTTCCTCGATTCTACTGGTGACCGACAGAAGCCAGTCACTTGTTCGGCACTTTTGAGCAAATTCTCTATTTCAAAAGAGTTGGTCCTAGAACTGACTCTGATTCCAGAGTCTGTCATTGATGACGGTGGATTTTCTGAATCCGTCGAGTAGCGGTCTTTACCTGGAAGTAAATTTTAGTGATTTAAATCGTCTTTGTATTTGAGAAAACAAGTTAATATATTTCATTCACGTTCACAACAAAAAGATATTGTTTTGAAGATAATAACTAGACTTCGGCAAATATGCATATTGCATATTTTGCATATTGTGCATATTTTATGCAAATATTTCATATTTTGGCATATTTGTATAAAAGTTTGCATAAAGTGCATAAAAGTTCAGATTTTTATACTGTATTTGAAAATTTTTAAACATACCAATTTATTTCAATTCTTGTATAAAATTTTGTAGTCATTTTAATCAAGAAATGATCTAAGTACGTAATCTGTACAGCTACAAAACATTTACAATTTTAAAGAAGATCAATTAAAGTAGCCCTCAACATTCTTAGAAAGTCTCGGTCACTGAGGCATTCAGTTATTGGATAATCGCTAAGGGTTCGCACATTTGCATTTTATGATCTAATCCCCAAATCTATCTACAATTTATTGTATCTTAACAGCAGGTAAACGGCTAATAGTTTTGTTCCTAATTTAGGGATTTTCCAAAATCTCCCAGTTTATTGAATTAGGTACCTAAACATTTCTGTGTTTCCAAATGACACTTACAACGTTTGACTGTAGATACTTCTCGAAAAATTGAACAAAACGATATAGTTAATAGAGGGGTCAAACTTATTTACTTTTCGAGATACAGGGTGTTAAAATTAAAAAAAAATTAAATTCTTTTAGTTAATAACAACAATAACTTTAAAACCAATAAACGTATTTACTTGAAATTTAGTACTCGTAGGTTGTTTTTAAATGAAAAATAGCTTCCTTTAGTAAGAAAAAATTGTCCATGGTACAATACAATGGTGTGTATTTAGAAAAATGTTTCACCTTTACTTTTTTTATGAAGTCAGCTATTCTAAAACACAATTATTTTTATTGTAATTGAATTAACAAAAAAAAAACTTTTGTTGAATTTTAAAATAAGTTATATGATTTACTAATGGTTAGTAACAAAAACTAATTTGTGGATTAACACTGCATTTAAAACACCTAGCGAGTGTTTTTTTTCCAAACCAGTTATTTGATTAACCAAAAACACCTTGTATATTTTAAAGGTTGGGTTAAAATAAAGGTTTTTATTTTTATTTATAGATAGCATGTGAGAAGAAATTTCAGATAGACCAACATGTGAGAACTGCTTCACACATTGCAAAAAAAGGAAAAATAGGAGGAAAACATCAAACTTCAGTGGCTAAATGTTTCCAATCTACTTCAAAAAAAATAGATGAGCAAGAAACTTTTAATGAAGACTTGTGTCGCGCATTAGTGTCTGCAAACATACCGCTTTCAAAATTAGCAAATGTAAATTTTAGTTCGTTTCTAAAAAAATATTGCAAACTTAATGTTCCAAGTGATCGGTCTCTAAGAAGAAATAATGTCAACGGGCTATACTCGTCGGTGTTAATTAATATTAAGGAAGAAATTGCAGATAATTATTTTTACATATCTGTAGACGAAACCACTGATTCCTCAGGAAAGTATATTGCTTATTTATTGATTGGTGTTCTTAAAGAAGATACCTTACCAAAATCTCATCTTATTTCATGCCAGCAACTTGAGAAAACAAATGCTTTAACAATTTCGCGTTTTATACAAGAAACATTAGCAACTTTTTTTCTTCCGACAACTATTCCTTCTAATAAATTACTGCTTATTTTATCGGATGCTGCTATATGGTGAAAGCAGGACAAAATTTAAAAATATTTTTCCAGACTTAATACATGTTACTTGCGTAGCGCATGGATTAAACAGAGTTGCAGAGGAAATACGAAAAAAGTTTCCTCTTGTAAATACCATGATCTCCAGTGTCAAAAAAGTATTTCTTAAATCTTTATAAGAATTCAACTTTATAAAGAAATGCTACCTAACATTCCTCTTCCACCACAACCTATTTTAACGCGATGGGGAACATGGTTAGAAGCAGCTAATTTTTATGCAGATCATTTTGTTAAAATAAAGAACATAATTGATACGTTAACAGATGAAAGTTCCCAATCTCTTTTGGATTATAAACAAACTTTTCAGAGTAACTTGCTTCAACAAGAACTTTAATTTATAAAATCAAATTTTAGTTTTGTTCAAAAAACAATTACTCAGTTAGAATCACCAAAACTGTCATTGTTTGAAAGTACAGCATTAATAAAAGAATTTGCGTCATGTTGTCGGAACGTTAGAGGTAATATTGGAAAAGATATTTTAAAAAAATTTAAAGCTACTATGGAAAAAAATACAGGTTACCATATTCTTTCTGAAGTAGTCAGTGTTCTAGCTGAAAATATTTCGGAAACAATTAATTTAGAACCAAATGTTTTGGTTAGTTTGAAAAATGCTCCCGATACATCAGTTGATGTTGAACGAAGTTTTTCCACATATAAATATATGTACTCAGACAGAAGCCACAAGTTTTTGTTAGAAAATGTTGAACACCACTTGGTCATTTATTGTTACCATAATTCTAAATAAGTTTATTCATACTTAAAAATGATGTAGTTACTTAAAATAAATGTAAATCTTAATGAATAGTAGGAAATATTTAGTTATGTACACTTTTTTATTTAAATAAAATTGTTACTATTTTACGATTTTTTTATTTATTTGTATGCATATTTTGTAAAATATTTGCATATTTTCGGGTAAACACGTGCATATTTATGCGCATATTTTCTACATTTTTATTTGCATATTTGGCGAAGTCTAATAATAATGCAACTTATGTTTTATTATTTATAACAAATGATATAAATCTATCTCTTTGTCCTTATGCAATCGTTATTACAGACTATCTGTAAACAATAATAAATGAAAAAAAGGTAAATATGGAAATAATGTTTATAACTACTGCTGCTCTAAACGGTTAAAAATATTCTGATATTCACACTATTTACAGTCTCTAGTAATGACTAGTCTGCAAAATTTAGGGGAAAGAGGAATACACTGCCTGGCAGATTTTTTAAATAGAATTATAGAAACGTAACCAATAATATATAAACAGAGACATAGTATATTAGTTTCTTTCTATACAAATACTTGCGACTTGCTTTTGCAAGGGAACACAAACATTACGCAGATTTGAGTAATGCTTGGTTCTCGGATAAGTCCAGGTTTTGTTTGAGGTTACCAGCCAGTCGTGAAAGAATCTGGAGAAGACAGGGAAAACGATTTGCCCAATGAAACATTGCTGACAGAATAACCTATCGATAAGTCTTAGTTATGGTTTGGGCTGGTTTTTGTTCCAATGCCTGCACCGACTTAGTTCTTGTAGATGGAGGTTCTATAACAGGAGCAAGGTATATAATAACTAGTTAATATGAATGTATGGTACATTTCATGCCATTGTAGTCCGGCTAACCCGCCTAAACAACTTGCCTGTGCTAGTGCCACTCTTCAGACAATATGGGACGAATTGGACTAACTTAATGTTTAAAATTGAATTACCACAATTCCAAGATGTTACGCAGGTTCTTATAACGACCCAAAGAGGCAATACTAGGTGTTTTGTATATTTATTCCATTGGGTCTTAGTACTTAGAACTTATTTATTTATTACGGTTATTGCTAGATTAAATCGTAAACAAAACAATCCAATCGTGAAGAAATCCGACCAGAGAACAATTCCTACAGATATAAAGGGAAAGAGAATGATTCTTCCAAGTTTTCAAATTAGTTTTTAATTATTTAGTTTATAAAAAAAAAAACTTTGATCTCATTAGTAGTAAACTTTACTATGATGTCACGTTATGCTATATATTTGCTATATATACAGGGTGAGTCATGAGGAACTGTACATACTTCTACCATATGTAGAGTACCTCAGGGAGCATATCATGTGGCCACTAAAAAATGTCAACTCCTTTATTAATTAACAGGGTGATTTGTGTAATTGACCATTTATTTCATTTTACTGTAGTGTTTATACGGCTCATTTGATTTTTTTAATTTTTGCATTATACAGCACACTACTATCAAGCATTCGACTGGTATTATTTAAACTAAAAAAATCCAGGACTGGCTTTGAAAAATTAATTTAGGGATTCGTATTAAATATTACACCCTGTATATATATATTTTTTTAAATGCAATAAGTGATTTTCAAAGTACATAAATAGCCAATGAAAACGACATATGCGACAATGTTGTCGCACTTTTATTAAATTTTTAGTGAACGATCAAATCTTACCAAAAATAGAACAACCATAATGAAGTATCAAATTATAAGGTAATAAATTAAACAAATGTTGTAAATTTCAAACATTTTAATTAAAATGAGTTCCTACAACATAATCTAATACGTAGAAAATTAACATCTTTACTGTCACTTTGTATTATCTCTACGATAGAATCAATTGTTTTTCAATTTTAAATTTTTACTCATAGATCGTATTGGGGCATTATTTTCGATAAATAATAAATTAAAATGATTAAAAAGTCAAACCTCTTGTATGTGTTAGTTTTTGTTGATTGTAAATGAATAAAATTTTATGTCAAATAATAATACATTGCATCAACTGTACTAAATAAAAATAAATCTAAAAAAGTTTAAAATGAGGGGTTGGCTTTGACCGTCTGACGTTTCTTGATATTTTATACCCATTGTCATTATCAATTGTTATTTATGTGTACAAGAATACATATGTCTTCTGTCATATCTACGTAACGTACATTGTGTTAGTTTTGGTAGAGCTTTTATTACTTTCGTTCAAAATGCCACATCAGTTTTCGACCACAGAATATGCAGACATAATATTTGTTTATGGATTCTGTGATGGGAATGGTAGGGCTGCTAGTAGAGAATATCGCAGGAGATTTTCTAATCGTCGAACTCCCAGTCATCCAACATTTATGTCAGTTTTTAATTATTTGCGAGAAAATGGCACTTTTCCTAGTGGAACAACAGAGCGACATGTAGATGAAGCGCAGGAAGATGACATTATGGACGCCGTTACTATGAACCCTACAATAAGCACTAGACAAGTAAGTCGAGAACTCAATGTTACTCAATCAAAAGTAAGTAGAGTCTTACCAAAAAAATAATCTACACCCATATCACATTCAAATGGTTTAGCGACTACATGCTGGAGATGAGATCGATAGGTTGGAATTTTGTAGATGGATTAACAATAATCGACCAACGCTATACAGGACACTATTTACAGATGAAGCCCAATTTACCAGAGACGGGATAAATAATTCACGAAATTCACATGTGTGGGCAGGAGAAAATCCCCATGCTATTCGAGAACATCGTTCTCAGTTAAGGTTTTCGGTTAACGTGTGGATTGGTGTCATAAATAACCGATTAGTAGGTCCTTACTTTTTTAATGGTCCTTTAACAGGGCAGGTCTATTTGAACTTTCTCCAAAATATTCTGCCGAATTTGCTTGCCAACGCGAACGTTGCTATCCGAGGGATGTATTTTCAGCATGATAGGGCACCCCCACACTTTTTACTGGCAGTGAGACAACATCTCAATAATGTTTATGGCAACAGGTGGATAGGACGTGCAGATCCTATTTCGTGGCCTTCAAGATCCCCTGATTTTAATCCCGTTGTTTACCATATTTGGGGACGATTCAAGCAACTAGTTTACGCAGTGAATATTAATAACCGACAACAATTAATTGATAGAATTATACATTGTTGTATAGAAACCGATCCCCAGAGTATCCGTAATTCAATACGTCAATTAACAATTCGGCAACAAAAATGTGTACAGGCTGTAGGGTTCCATTTCGAAAATCTATTTTGAATTATTTTTATTTTCTTACCATTATTGTATCTTTTCCAGTTCTAATTTATGGGTTTATCATAACTATGTACAGTTGCGGTCACGGAATAGTTTACACCTTACTTTTTATATTGTAATACTGTAAAATTGCAGTGTCGTACGGATTTGATAAATGTCAAAGTCAAAAAATTTCAAAACGTCAATGCTTTCGCGAGTGTTTAACAATAAAATAAAAGTATATTAAACTCTTCCAAAATGGTTAGAATACATTTGAATTATGCGCAAAAAGCAAGAGCAATTGCCAAACTCGAAGAAGGTTGGTCACTAAGGCAAGTTGCTGCTGATTTGAACGTGAGTCATATGTGCATATGGAAGATTAAACAAAGATGGGATAATTTTCACTCTATAGCACGGTTGGGTGGTTCAGGAGGGCAGAAGATTTCCACAGATCAACAGGATGAGATGTTAGTAGATTATTTGAGAGAATCTCCTTTTCCCACAGCTCAAAAGGCAAGAGAAGAGGCAGCGTTTCCAGGCAGTATTCGCACTGCACGTCGAAGAACTAAAGCAAGTGGACTGCTAAATTGTGTAGCTGCACGGAAACCTTTTTTGACTGAGGATCACAAGAGGAGACGAGTTGAATTTTGTAATGAATTTATAAACCACGATGAGAATTTTTGGTCTAGGGTTGTATTTTCCGATGAAAAAGTATTTCAGTCGTATAATAATGGTCGAATAAGAGTTTATAGGCCGAGAAATCATAGGTATGATGAACAGTATACGCATCATTTAAGAAATAGTGGAGGATTCTCTGTCAACGTATGGGGATGGATAAGTGCCGAAGGCCCGGGCGTTTGTTATCATGTAGAGGAGAAGTTAACAGGATTATATTACAAACATATTATTGAGCACACAATGTTGCCATCGGTGATCCAGAGATTCCCCAACAACAACTTTATCTTCCAACATGACAATTGCCCGGTGCATACGAGTAGAATTGTTCGAGAATGGCTAGAAGAAACTGATGTTAATGTTCTTCCGTGGCCTTCCCATACTGTGGGCAGAGTTAACAAAGAAACTAAATGAAAGAAACCTTAGACCACGGAATAGAATTGAATTATGGGAAGCAATTGAGCAGGCATGGGAAGAGCTTGTTAATTATAACATGAGGGGATTGGTGCTATCTATGAACAGAAGACTGCAAAATTGTATTGACAAGAATGGGGCTTCCACCAAATATTAATTATTATTTATCATTGTTTATCGTTATTTAATATAAAATAGATTTAAAATAAAATGCATATTAAAAAAAAAGACTTCTTTATTTTCGTTATTAAGATCATAATCCATTTTATTCAAAAAACTGTTTTCTATATTTTTCATTTTGTAAAATATTTTGATATTTTAATTTTAATCTACCTATTCTAGCTAGTACACCACTGGCAACGTCCCTTTGACGTAAAAGGTGCGTTTAAACGAAGTAAAAATTTAAAAAATGGGCTCCTAGATACGTGAACCTGTAAACTATTCCGTGACCGCAACTGTACATATTTTTAGTTTTTTTTTTTAAATTGTTCTTCGTTATTGTTAGTAGTTCCTGTTTTTTGTTGTGCAGTGACTCAGTTTATCATTTCAATTAAAATGTTTGAAATTCATAACATTTGTTTAAATTAATTACCTTATAATTTGATACTTCATTATGGTTGTTCTATTTTTGGTGAGATTTGATCGTTCACTAAAAATTTAATAAAAGTGCGACAACATTGTCGCATATGTTGTTTTCATTGGCTATTTATGTAGTTTGAAAATCACTTATTGCATTTTAAAAAAAATATATAAAGGGTGTAATATTTAATACGAATCCCTAAATTAATTTTTCCAAAGCCAGTCCTGGAATTTTTTAGTTTAGCTAATACCAGTCGAATGCTTGATAGTAGTATACTGTATCATGCAAAAATTAAAAAAAATCAAATAAGCCGTATAAACACTACAGTAAAATGAAATAAATGGTCAATTACACAAATCACCCTGTTAATTAATAAAGAAGAGGAGTTGACATTTTTTAGTGGCCACATGATATGCTCTCTGAGGGACTCTACATATGGTAGAAGAATGTAAAGTTCCTCATGACTCACCCTCTATATGCAATATATTTGTTTAATTATAATGTACTTTTGATTATTTTTCAAATCTAAATTATTAGAAAATTAGCTATCTTCAAATCAATACAACTACCACACAACACAATCACAACACCCAATTTCACTCACTCCAACCTGGGGCTGGTACGATGAGGCCTGAGATCATCTCCTCGCTGATGACGGGTGGCTCTGACGGAGGTGGTGGGCAAACCAGACTGTCAATAATATCATCCGTTGCTCTGAGAATTCCAGCTAGATCTGGTGGTTCGGTTCTCGAGGAGCGCATCATCATACAGAGAGACAATTCTTCTTGAAGCACGCTTTCCAGATACATCATGTCTAAATCTGAGACTATCGCTCCATTGATCACCATAATTTCGTCGCTTTTGATAATACCTGCAATAGAAAATGATGATATTTATACTGTTAAAGTGTAATATTGATTTAATCCAATTATAATAATATAAAAAAATAGATAACACTTCGCGCATCTATCTATCGGTGCGACCTAATGGCTGATAGGAAATGATCCTACATATATATAGGATATGTGCCACTAAGGTATAACCAAATAAGCAACAGCGGATCAACTGAGGTACGACCTAGGGTAGCAGTTATGTCATTACTGAATCAAGGCAACAGCGGAATAATTTCTCCTGTTGGCTTGATAACAGAAACTCACGAGTGAATATCAGATGTTGATTTAACTGACCGTGACGCTGCAAACAGATAGGCAATATATTTATCTATCACTTGTAGTAAACGGGTGACTGGAAGAGCAAACGAAACACAGCATCTTCAAAGCAGCAGATCAATAACTACAGGAACAGGGAGCAGCAAAGATCTTTTCCAGACTGGAAAGTTTAAACAGAGAAATAAATATTAGAAAAATAATTTCTGGAGAGATCAAGAATATTTTAAAAGAAAAAACCACACTGTATACATATCAGGATGTTAAAACTAAGGATATAATGGAGTATCTATTTTAATAATTAATAGAATATCGAAATATATGAGGTAGCATAAAAAAATAAACTGTAAACTCATCAAAATAATATTTGAAGCAAAAACAGAAAATTTTCATGTCATTTAATTAATTAATAAGGCCGAGAACAAATGCCCTATATCAAAGCATTGACGACAATTACAACAAGATAGAAAACATCTTAAAGAAAATCTCACAAGAGCAGCCAGTATATATTATTGGAGACTTCAACGCTAAGGTGGGAAAAACTGAGAATGAACCACATTTGGGAAATATTGTCGGATAATTTGGAGACAATAGAGGAAAACGTTTTCTATAGTTTGCCAATGAAAACAATCTAGTGACAATAAATAGGGTAGGGTCGCCTATATTGGACAAGCTCCTAAATTGGACCTTCGCAGATTTGAGCGAACCGACAACAAGTGGTACTATCCGTCAATACCAACTAGAACTACATCTCGATACCTGTTAGAGTTTCAACAGGTATGCAGCTGTAAACAACGATTAAGTGTTTTCGTGATTATTTAACTTTTGTTACAAAGATAGTACTACTTATTGTTCAAGTAAGTAATCACATTTAGAATATCTTTATTTCCCAAGATTTATTAAAGATGCCATTGCTTAGAGATTATCTTCGTCACGTTATCTCCAAATTGGTAAAACCCGTTGTGGGTGAAATTTAATATTGTGTAGCTTTAGACTAAGGTTTCCTAAATTGGACCAGCAATTGACTTGGACCGGTTCAATTTAGTGTACACCTACATTGGAACCGTAGTTCTCCTGATCCGATATTGGGCGACGTCGGCCTATACTGCTTCCATGACGAAGAAGTATAGGCACTCTGATTTAATACCTTGAGTTTGTTTTTAATCCGACGTCGGCCAACGTCGCCAGATACCGGATCGGGAGAAATACGGTTCCAATGTAGGTGTACACTTAGACAACCGTATTGTAAATGAAACCAGTCCCATGTAGTTCTTGATAGGTTTATTTTTTACACTTCTCAACAATTGAAGTGCATGTTATGAAATTGTGTATTTTATTTTTTGTTCATAAGGTCAAATAGAAAAATGGAGTGATATAAATAAAAATTTATTTTTACTTCGTCTTTTCATACAGATGAACCGAAAGAAAGAAATTCTTTAGAAAAAAAAATAAATAAAAAATAAACAAAACTTGTAGAATTAACAACCTAAAATTTCTATTCCTGCTCAATTTCTAATATCACAAAAAAAATAATAGGGTGTGGGTCCACCTCTGTATCGCCTTTGTGCTCTAACTCTATTTAAAAAACCTCTTATTAAATTATTGATGAGCTGCTGCGGTATACGTTTCTAAATTGCGCGTAGTGTATTGGCCAACTGATCTAAGGTTTGGGGCGGTTGAAGGAGCCTATTTTGTTGCCTAGACATTTCTGCCCAAACATGTTCAATGCAATTCAGATCAGGTGAACATGGTGGCCACTCCATTCTTGTAATGCCATGAGCTTCTATATACTGGTTGACAATTCTCGCATAGTGAGGGCGAGCATTATCATCAATCAGAACAAATTGTTCGTCTATTGCACTAAAAAATGGAACAACTATTGGTACTATGACTCCGTCTCGATATCGTGTAGCAGTCATTGTCTCATTAATTAAGACGACTAAGTCCGTGTGACCGTCAAAAAATATGCCTCCCCACACGCAAACGGATCCACCTCCAAAAAGAGTGGTTTGGACTCTCACATTTTCATTGTAACGCTGTCCTCTTTCCCTCTACATCAATATTCAGCCATGATTGGTATAAAAACGAAATCTGGACTCGTCAGTAAAGAGACAATTCCTCGAATTTTTAAAATTCCACTGATAGAGTTCCATCGCCCAGCGGTATCTGCATGCACGCTGCTCCCTAGTTAGTCGTGGATGGGTAGCGCGCCGTCTAGCCCTTAAGTTGGATGCATGTAACTGTCTTCTGACAGTTTGACTGGAAATCACTCGTCCAGTAGCATGTCTGAAGATACTGTTAATTCTAGAAGCCGTGAATGTTGGGTTTATTCTTGCCATCAGAACTATAAAACGGTCTTGCGGACGAGTTGTAGATCGTTTTCTTCCTCCTCCATGCCTGTATGCTGCAGATCCAGTTGCTACATATCGATTCCATGCACCACTTATTACACTTTGCGACACATTTAGCCTCATAGCAACCTCTTGTTGAGATATGCCTTGTTGGATCTGCACTACTTCTAAACGTCTTTGCGGCATAATGTTTTTGTGATAAATAGATTTCTGGACTTATTGACAACTGGTAAAGCCAATACAAGCACTTTTATACGAATAATTTACGAGATAAGGGCCGATAAGAATAGGGAGAAAAAAACAGATGCAAAAAATATTGGCAATAAAGATAGCATATAGAGTATAGTACAGGCAATTATTTTAAAAATAGTTTTATATGCTAATTTTAGGAATTTTAAAATTATCTACTTCAATTGTTGAGTAGTGTATTTTAGAATGTCATCACGTAGTAAATACGGCAAGTATAGCACAGAAGATTTAAGTAGTGCTATTTTCGCTTTTCGTAGTGGTTCTTCTAGGCTTAATGCATTTGAAAGGTTGTTTAAACTACTTTAAGCTACACTAAAAAGACATCTCAAAAAAAACTAACGGGTACATTAAGGTTATTTAATGTACTTTAAGCTACACTAAATGGACATCTCAAAGAAAAACTAACGGGCACATCATGCAAATAAAAAATGGGTAGGTATAATGTATTTAATAAAGAAATTGAAGCAGAAATAAATTTTCTAAGAATACTTTGATATTCGATGACAAACTGGCATTTAAATTGGCAACAAGAAACAGTTTGAAACACAATTTCAACAATGATAAACGCATGGCGGGCAAGAAGGGGTATTATGGCTTCATATCAAGTCAAAGAAATATTGGTACGACATCCGGAGAAAACGTCAATGACAAGGGCTGCAGGATTTAGCAAAGCGTGAAGTTATAAATTCTATGAACTTTTACAAATAATTTGTAAGGAGGAAAAGTTAACCGCAACACGCATATTCAACGTCGATGAAACAGGCTGCTCAACCGTACAACGTCAATTTCAGAAAATATTAGTCATGAAGGGAAAACATTAAATTAGGAGCATCTCTAGTGGAGGGAGGAAGGTAAATACTACTGTAGTTTATTGTGCTAGTGCAGCAGGGCAGTTTGTACCCAAATTTTAAGAGCTAACGTTTTTAAAAGAAACTTTCATTATGTGCTCCGCATGGCAGCATTTTTACTATTAGTGATACTGGATATATCAGTAGCGATCTTTTTGTGATATGGCTTTTGTAATGTAAACATAGCAAGAAAATAAAGAATAGAAAAAATAAGGGCTAGTAGAATAGGGAGAATAATAATCATTCAATTAATTATTATATATTCCATATTAAATACAGTAACGTATACATTTTTAATTATACAAATAATAACAATTGACCTAGTTTGACACAAGCCCGAATATTTAAGAATTACGAAATCTAAAGACCTTCGTGAAAATTAATACAACGAAGCGACACACCATCGCATGATATATTCCAACACGTGGAACAGTATAACAGAATCAGCAAAGTAAACTAGGAATGTTCGCGGGACATAAAAAATTAGTCAGGCAGTCAGTGATAGCTGGGCACCGTGACTGCCCGCTCAGGCAGTGATCGCCGGCTCCGGGCCGGATGCGATAGCGTCCAGTACGCAATCAGTAATAGGCAGTCGGTGTCTTCGGGCAGGGTTGTTAATACGAGAGTCGGCACCAGGTGCGGATTACGCGCGATTGTTGTATTTCGACGGGGTATAGTTCCGTATAAGTGTCGGGTACTGAAAGAAATCCGATTTCCAGAGGAACTGAAAGGCGTATCATTAGCTAGAGCCTAAATACGCGAAAGGTAACAAAATACTATATACTAACCCGAGTAAATTATAGTATTACAGATTGTCACCCCTTAACTTTCTTGCTAAGATCTCTTCTCGTCTCCCTTCGCGCCGAACGAGTTATTATTAATTATATCTGACAGCTTGTTAACTTAATTGTAAACCACATAGTATTTTCAATACATTTGTAGACTCTAAAATTGGTTTTTATGTTCCTTCTGACCGATTCAGACAGAGACCAGAAGAGTACCGAATTTCGGCTTATACATTTATCCGGCTTCTAAAATAAGCCCATAGACTCAAACTCTTTACAGGACCTGAGACCTAGAAGTCCTTAACACCTATTCCGAAGTTCCTTACCTTCTCGTAAATCCACGAAGGCGAGCCAGCCCTCCAGACTAGTGGGACCAGTATTCCTTGCAGCCGCTCGCAGGGATAAGCATCCTTTAAGGTTCATTACCAGTATATTACAGTGGTAACAGCGTTGTACAGTGGTGAAGATTTTC